ATGGTGGAGAAGGAGAAAGGCTTGAAAATCAAAGCCTTAAAGTCTGATAGAGGTGGAGAATTCACATCAAGTGAATTCACCAAATTCTGTGAAGAACATGGGATTAGACGATTCCTTACCACTCCTTACTCTCCGCAACAAAACGGAGTTGCTGAAAGGAAGAATACAACCATTCTCAATATGGTTCGTGGCATGCTAAAGAGCAAGAAGATGCCAAAGGAGTTATGGGCTGAAGCAGTTGATTGTGCAGTATACCTACTAAATCGATGTCCCACGAAGAGTCTAGAAGACAAGACTCCACAAGAAGCATGGAATGGGACAAGCCCACAGTGAATCACCTACGAGTGTTTGGGAGCATAGCATATGTCCACGTACCAAGCCAAAAGCGGTCCAAACTTGATGATCGAAGTAAGAAGTATGTCTTTGTTGGATATGACAAGCATTCAAAAGCCTACAAACTCTACAATCCTATCCGAAGAAGGTGGTCATAAGCAGAGATGTAGAGTTTGACGAAGAAGGAACGTGGGATTGGAACGTTAAAAGCAGTGAGGATTATAATTTTCTACCAGTTATCCTTGACTATGAAGATGAAGTTAACGAGGCGGATGGAACAATTCAGCAATCTCAAAGTTCGCTTTTACGTATTTCAAATGAAGGCACACAAAGAACACGAAGTCTACAAGAGATATATGAAGAAACAGAGGAAATGGAAGCATTAGCACTTTATTATTTCCATGCTAAATGTAAACCTCTAGACTTTAAAGAGGTTGTACGAAAGAAGAAGTGGAGGCCAACAAGCACCTCACTAGACGTGGAGCAAAGCTCTCGAAGGAGGATGAAGGAGAAGACTACGCATGATCAAGGATGATGCAAGTAGTCACCAATCAAGTTTAAAGGGGGGTGTTAGTAAATAAATTTGATTGATGTAAGTAATATTGGGCTACCCAAGGTCATTAAGTTGGACCATAAGTATTAATTAGTTACAAGTCCTAGCCCATTAAAAAGAGAATTCTAGAAAAAGAAGATATTAGAAAATAATAAGAATATTCTAGAACAATATCTAGAATGTGTAGAAATGTGTATAAAAATATCTAGAAGTTGTATAATTATTTATAGGAAATATCTTGGAGAAAAATCTAGATATTTGAATAAAATATCTAGATATTTAGGTGTTATAGAAAAATCTTGAAAACATGTAGAACCTTCCATGCACCCCTATAACCCCCTAATGTAAGTGTGTGTAGAGAGTTGTGAGAAACCTTAAACTAAAAGCTTAACACACTCCATCTTGTTTCCTTTTACTACAAAGTAGTAAAGCTCCCTTTCTCCCAAAATTTCCTTCTCTTCCATTTCCACTTCATTTACCCATCACCTAAAAGGTGTAGTTCTTATAACCTAAAGGGTTCTTTTTCTAACAGTTTTGATTCGCAAGATAGTCTTCCTGCAAATTTACAATGTGAGATTAGCATACTGTTGGGTTCTGATTCATGCATTCTCATCAGTCCTCCTTAAAACCGACTGCCGCCTTTGCGGCCCTAAATTATTTCTTTCAAAATTATTTAATACTCCTCTTTGTTTCTTCCTGTATTACTATACTGAAATTAGGGTACTAATGACATAAGATTCAGTTTTATCATTAAAATCGTTGCAAATTGGCCTATGCATATGCTTTGAGGTTAAAGCTTGGTATCACGATCGATATATGGTTCATTTAGGATATTAACAGAAAAGATTAAAGAACTACAACAGAAGAGGTTAAAGCTTGCTACTTCCTCCCAGCAGCATTCAGGATGTCCTTTGGAATGGGAAAAGGTTTCAAGGACAGAATAAGGTGTATTCTGTTAGTCATATTTAAGGAATTAAAATATTGTTAAGAATTCTAATTTAAATATTTGAATTCTAATGGGGGCTGGACAATGCCAAAATCAAAGGTCTTGACTCTAGAGTCATGATTGTTCACAAAGACACGATTCACTAGAAAATGAAGGAGTATGCTTTTTTATATATTTGAGGGGAAAATGGAGATTTCCACTTGGTGTTATGTTTTTTATGCACTAATATACTATCTTATCGCAAATAACTTGTTGACTTAACTGCAATACATTGTGCTTCTGAATGAACTTGTGTTGTTAGATCCATATGTTTGACTGCAATCTTCCCATAGAGTCAACGCGTACAGTACTGTTGTAATCCATACTCAACAGACAAATGATGTCTCTTAAAAGTTTCGAACTTAAATCAAATACAGCCTTTGTTGCACTTACAGCTTTCTAATTTATATGGCAGAAATATATAGCAGTTAGCATTCCTGGTGTTTGTTGTTTGCTGACTATAATCGTTTTCATCCGTCTGCATGCTTGGTTGCTAGTATTGCTAATTAATTGTTCTTATTGCAGCTATTGGCTCTTCGTCTGGCAGTGGTGTCGTGATACCTGGTGCAAGTACAAGTTCGAGCCTCGGCCCATTTGCTTCTGAGAGGTCGGTCAATCTGGTCTGACTAATTCTGCATCTTATAGTAAGAGTGGATTTGGGATTACTGCAGGTCAGTTTTTTTTTATAGCTTCTATTCGTTAAGAAGTGTGTATATGAAGAGAAAAGCTTTTATGTGCTACTTCTGGGAATCATTTGATTTACGCAGATTATTTGCAGGGCCTCAACCTGCAGAATCAGTGGCAGGCCTAAAATCTGTACCATTGCCTTTTAGTTCCATGCTTCCTGGAAGTGGAATTGAAAATGTGTTTCAACTAGACAACTACAGCTGATATTCAGCCAGGAGATTGTGGAAAGTAAGAGCCATGAAGAGCCGAGTCCATAATGAACCACAAACATCGAGTGCAGTATCAACTGGACCGAGATCTTGGAGCAATCTTCCTTCAAGTACACCTTCGACGTTTACTTTCCAAAGGCAATTGCAAACACTTATTTCAACGTCCACTCGACCAGTACATTTTTTAGATTTACTTTCTACAGCCAACCACAAGCTCCAAAGTCAATATCAGCTGGAACAAGATCTTGGGGCATTTTTCCCTTTATCACAATATCTTCTTTCAATTTCCAAAGTCAATGAACAAGCATTGAGTACAAGCGGTACAGTGGCCATTGAGAACAATTTGTGCTCGTGTACGTTATTATCATCTCATGTCACTTCCTAATGTCAAACACACACACATCAAGTACAATGTCAACTGAAACAGAAGCTCAGTTCAATTTTCCTTTTAGTACATTTTCTGAGAGGACAGTGTCAACTGAGGCAGGAACTCAAAAGAAGTTTTTGCTCAAGTATATCATCATCTAGTTTCAATTTCCAAAGTCGACGTAAGCAGTTCCCTAGAGTAAACCATCTATTTTTCAATCCCCAGTTTGGTCAGAAACATCAACTGGAACAACTGGGATCAGTTTTCTTCACGGCCGATGCCTGTTTTCACTTCCAAAAGTTATTTAAAATCTTGAATCCAATGGCACCTGGACCTGGAGCAAAGTTCTTTCAAGTGGAACTACCCTGATGCAGACAAGCTCTCCCATTGTTTCTACTTGGACAGAGGTAAATTACCTTCAAACCTTAATACAATCTCTTTTACATGCTTATACGTCAGACTGGTACCAACTCTAAATGGACTAATTTCAGTTTTGATGTCCTCTCTTTTACACTGATCATTTGTGGACATACGAGATCTTTTCATTAAATTGTCAGTTCTTTTCATTGTGCTGTTCAGGAAAAAGTAATTAACATTCATAATATTTTCTCACGTCGGATAAGAGCACCATTTCCATCAGAACTGCTGCTGGAAGTCCTTTTGGCGAGCAATCTACATTTCAGACATCAACGGATTCCCCGATCTCCCCAATTTCAGTTGAACATGGAAGTTCAAAGATTTCGTTGAGTTTTACTTTCTCTGAAACATATTTTTTTCCATCGAAACATTTCTCCTGCTTCTGTAGTTAATTCTTACGTAGATCTTATCAGCATCTACACATAAGTCATGACAGACAACTTGTGGATTGTTTAATTTGACTCTCAAAATACAAGCCCGCAAAAAATGTCCAAAAGGTGATATTCACGATGCTATTAGAAGCTTTGAAAACAAGATCATTAAATCATGCCCACTGAATGAAAAACCATTGTAAATACCGGAAGAAAGTAATACTTCAAATGACATTGTTTTTCTAGCTGGTTTTGTAACAGGTTGCCTTTCTACGAAGAAAAAATCATCTCATTTATGGATAGCCACCACTTTCTTTATTCCAGGGCCAAATTCAAGGGCTTGGAATTTCATGGAGGAAGGAGCCATTAGACACAATCAAGATCAAAGTTGCCCTCGACGGTGGAAAAGCCATTTTATTTTTAGACTTGTAAGTGTAATTCGTCGCACCAAATATCTGTTGTAATGCGTGCATTGCCTTAAATATTTAAGCAAACACAGCCAGCAACATATTATCCCCATCTCTTCCTTAAACTGCAGACAGGTAGGAAAGAATGACACAAGGGGACATTAGATTTTTTGTTGGGTTTCCCCGTCAAACATAAGATTTTAGGGATAAGAAAGGTACAAAAAAAAGCCACAGTAATCATAGAAATGAACAAAAGAAAAAAACAATTCCATTCTTTCTCTGAGTTGACAGGTTAAGTAGGTAATGAATACTGTATAAAACACTAACTCCCTCTGTTTCAAATTAAAAATCAAAATAAAGACAGAGTTATGATAGTACTTACCACCCAGGAAGGAACTATTACCGAACACGAGTATATGGAAAAGACTTGGAGACTTGGGAGTCAACTCACGCGCATATACTATATCGATATATAATTTGAGTATGTATTGATGATGACAATTTGAAAATTTTTGCTTCTCTATATTATAGAACAAACTTGACAATAATTTGGGAATTGAGGACATAACATAACTAATCACTTCCATAATTATAATATTATTGACTAAGTTGCACAAACAAATCATAATCATGGTTGTTGCTGACTCATAAAATTTGACTTCACTACCTTGGTTTTCATTTCATATTGTTCTCAAAGCGACGGACATGGCGAATCTTCAAACCAATCTCATTCATTCATTCATTTGTTTGTGGAAATTATTAGTATCTTCAGTCCTGTTTTAACTAGCAACCATTGTTCTTCTACCATCTATCTTTGGCATTCGTTGTTTTTCTGTATCTTTCATCAGTTCCTGTAGCTTTAATTTTTCAATCTAACCAACTTTTCCATCCATCGATCTAGCCTGCAAAGGTCAGTAATTTGAATGAACCCATCTCTAATTATTTATTTATTTATATTTTTTGTCATCGTGTTTTGGAATTTAATTCTGTCTGTAATTGCTGCATATTCCTTTTGATCAGATATTCTATATTTAAAACTGTACACCCTTGGAAGAAAAAGAAAATTGTAAGATGGGTGCTTATGCAGCAGCACTACACCTCAAGAACCTGTTGCGTGAGGAATTACTAACTTTTCTGGCAGAAGTTGTTGTCGCAGAAAAGGGAGTGATTGCGAAGTTGCTTGAGTTTGTCAATGATTTGAAAGATGAATTTGGGAGTTTAAAAGATGTTTCTGCTTCTTATCTCCCAATTGTCAAGCGACGTCTTCAAAAGGTACTTTGCAAAACGCCTTTCGATGAAAAATATACCAATTATGTCAAGGATGGCAGATCAGAGAGCATCATGCATGATCTTGATGCCATCCAATTCACACTGGGTGAACTCATGCGTGAAATTGATGGCGGCGTTATTAATTATCCGCCTAACATCTTATCTATAAAATGTGAGTTTGTAAAAGTTCTGCTTTCTGCTGTTCAAGAAGTTAAAGAGCCAGTTACCTTGGTCTTACAAGCAGAAAAAGCAGCCACTTCACTTTGTGATAGAGTAACTGAAGATCTGCTATCGAAAATCACAAGTCCTGATAATGATGAAGTGGTTAACTGCATAAAAATTGCTGCTGACACAGCTGCTGACACTGTTGAAGATTTCTTAACAAACACTCCTTTTTTGTTGGGGACAAACCATATTCTACAAGTTAAGAATGCTTGTGATTTGTTGAATGACATTGACCAAATGCTGTTTCACTCATCAGAAGAGGCATCTTTCAGTATTGAGAGATCTATGAAGGATGGTGTGCTAAAAGACATGGACCACTTGCCGTTGCAGAATGCTTCACATAGGGCATATTGCACCCGGGAGAGAAATATGGGGGATGGCATGTTGAAATACATTGTGGGGTTGCTATCAAAGACATTGCAGAAGAGAGCTTCCCTTCAGAGAGAGATCTATGATGATTCCACTAAGTTGCCATTAAGTCATGATTTGCCGCTCCCAAATTCGCATCCCACTAATATACGCTGTGAAAAGGAAGTGGAAGAGGGTGCAGGACATTTAGCTTTCCACTTGAGCACCAAACTAGAAACTTCATCAGAACAAGAGGAAATTGTGGTTGGTATTGATGACTACATTTCAGCAAATCATTGATGTTCTTACGAGTCCAGTATCTAAACTGACAACTGCGGAAGTTGTGGGGATGGGCATTGGTAAAACAACTCTTGCCCGAAAAGTTTTCCAACTTTGTTGTAAGTTCCGTCTATTTGATCGCATTGCTTGGGTGAATTATACATCTAATATAGACCAAGTGTTGTCCTGTCTTTTGCACTGCATGAATCTGCCTAATGATAAAATTCAAGGACTAACCAGACAAGATAAAGGAGAAAACTTGCGGAAAAGTTTGAAGATGAGAAAGTACTTCATGGTTTTTGATGGTTTATGGGATTTGGACTCCTGGAAAGATATTCTGAATTTTCTTCCAGAAGATGAAGTTGGAAGCCGAATACTAATAACTAGTCGTGAAATGATGCAATTTCCCACCATTGAAGGTACGATTGTTTCAGATTTTCCACATCATAAATATTTTCCTATGAGCATTCTAAATGAAAATCAAAGCTGGGAATTACTGGAAAAAAAGTTATTTGGAAACAAAAGTTGCCCCGCTGATATGGTGGAAGTGGGAAAGCAAATTGCTAGACAATGTGGAGGACTACCATTAGCAATTGTTCTTATAGCTGGCACTCTGTTCAACCTTCCATATCCAGAGTCTTACAAATCCTGGTTGAGTGTCAAGGATGACATAACTTCAATTGTATTTGCGAACCCAGGGTCGTGTCTGGACATAATTGGTTTAAGTTACAATTACTTGCCCCCTCAACTGAAAGCCTGTTTACTTCTAATGGCTGGGGCTTTTCCTGCTAAATGTGAGATTGATGTAGAAAAGCTTAGCAATTTGTGGAGGGCTGAGGGTTTCTTGGATGCTGTTCATGACGAGCCAGAGATCATCTTAAAAGAACTTATACGTAGGAGTTTAGTTTCAATTGGCAGAAAAAGTTTCGAGGGAAAAATCAAAACATGTATGCTTCATGATCTTGTGCAACAGTTGTGCTTGAGAGAAGCTCAAAAGGAAAACTTCATGCATTCTGTAGATGGAAATGCAAATGGTAACGGAATTGCCCAAGGTTTAGAGAAGCAACGTCATCTCATTTTCAACATTGAAGATTGTGATGGTTGTCAAATATTGCCTCCACTTCCTCATCTCCGATCTTTTATATGGCTTGCACTTGGTTCTGATTTTACTCCAGGTATGGTAGGTCTCATACTATCAGGTTTTAAATGGTTAAGAGTGTTGGACATATATTTCTTGCCTTTTGATACCTTTCCTGGACAAATACTTAACTTGGTCAATTTAAGATATCTAGCACTCAATGTGAGATATAAGCTTGACAAGTCAGTGTCTCAGCTTCACAAACTTGAGATCTTGCTTGTGTATGGTCCCTGGAGCCATAATCAGAATGAAGGAACCCCAGCTATATTTTTGGATCTTTCAAAAATGCGATGCTTGTCGCATGTTAGCATTTGGGTGCCAAGTATTTTAAAAAGTTATAAGATTCCGGATTCTTTTAGACATCTTAACCTTACGGCTTTTTCCAAAGTAACATTTCACAGCTCATGGCTGCTGTTCGGGTGCTCACCAAATCTTAAGAAACTCGGAGTTTTTGAAACCAAAGAAGATTACCAGACTGGTAAAGTGTTGAGATGCTTCTCGGACAGGGGGTTTCAAAGATTGAATCAACTAGATTCACTGAAGTGTTCTTTCTACAAAGGGAAGGCGGAAGCAAGAAGTTTAGATTTGAGTGCTTTACCAGCCACTCTCAAAAAGTTGACATTGACAGGGAGTTGTTTATCTTGGGACCAAATGAAGCTTCTTGCGGGGTTACCCAATCTGGAGACTTTAAAGCTGAAAAATGAGGCTTTTATAGGGCCAGAGTGGGTGCAAACTGATGAGGTATTTCCTCGTCTGAAGCAATTACTGATTGACAATGCAGGTCTAATGGTGTGGCAAACTGGAAATGATGATGAGCACTTCCCCAGTCTTGAGCGGCTAGTTCTGAAGTACTGCAGGTTTCGTCAGGAGATCCCTTTGGGCAGTGGGCAATTCAGTAGTCTTGGGTCAATTGAGCTGCACCATTGTTGTGAATCAGTTGAGAAATCAGCCCGAGAATACGAGGAATATTATGGCAGCCCTAGTATCGTTTGTTCGAAGTAGCATTCTTGATAGCTATCTTCCTTGATTCGCTGTCTATGCCTTTATGTAATGAACTAATAAAATTATTTTCGACAGTTATTCAATCGGCTCCAATGATAAAGGTTTTATTATGTTTGTTCCTTCTCTTTTTAGCAGCAAATAGAAGACAAAAGACGTAGGCTCTGATTGGTTGCAAGAAATCGGAATTGTGATAGAATTTATTTTATTATTATTATTATTTTTTTTAAAGGTAGTATGTGTTGATGAGTCGATTTGTATCCAACAAACTTGACAATGATTTTAGAAATGAGGGCCTAACCAATTGATTTTATAATTATAATATTTTTGTTATGACTAAGTTGCACAAACAAATCAAAATCATGTTTAGTGCCTTCATGCTTTCTCATGTGGCTCGGATTGTTGACTCATAAAATTTGACTTCACTACCTTGGTTTTCATTTTATACTCAAAGCGACGGACATGTGGTATTTTTATAACCTTCCCTTTGGACCTCATCGTGTATGAAGTCAAATAGTAGTATTAAACTGCTGCTGTTCCTTAGCTTAGTTTGTTCTTATGGAGGACTCTGGCTGCATCATCTACTCAATCTATTTGAGTCTATATATCATTAAGGCCAATAATAATAATGGCCAGAGTTTCTGATTAGATTCTGGTAGATGACAATGAAGTACTATCTTTCTCTGATGGAGTAGAAACTGTTTGGGAGCTGCTGGATTGCTGTAACTCTGAATATTTGTCTCTCAGTCCTTGAAGTTTTAGCCCGTTATCGTAAACACTTGGATCTGATGTCAGATCATCGTTGCCTAAATGACCTTCAAGCAGACGAACAACAGATGACATGGTAGGCCTGAGTGCAGGTGATGGATTAGTGCACATTAATGCTACTTTGATCATTCTCAGTGCCTCTTCCTCATTGAAATTTGAACCCAACCTAGGATCCACTAGCTCTAGCAAGCTTCCTTTTGTTCGTAGAACGAGGGCCTGACAATCATAATTGCTGGTGAGATTAGGTAGTAGGAATCACAATGCTTAATCCACTCTGATGTAGAAAAAGAGAAAACGAGTTTGTGTGGGCTATACTATGGTTTTCCATTCAAAAATGTAAAAGTTGCACCGGAGATGCAAAAAGTGAGTGTTGAAAATGTAAAAAAGTACTTCGAAAATCGACCTAAAATATAAAGCACAACCAGAAAATGCCCGAAATCAGTTATCAGTGATAAAAAATATACACAATTGATCAGAAAAAGGTTTAAGTAACATCAATAAACGTATTCAAGAATAGTTTTTTGTCAGAGTAATCAAAGTAAGAACACACTATATCTTTTGGGGAGGGCGTCAGAAAGGCATGTTTACTAGGGTGTTTTTTCATCAGTAAGATTTCTTACCCAATCAATAAGACAAACATAATCTTCACTGGGCCGGTAACCCATATTGCTCTTTCCTGCAACGATTTTCAATGCAACAATTCCAAAGCTGTACACATCCGCTTTAAATGTTAAGTAACCCCATAGAGCATATTCAGGTGCCATGTACCCACTACAGAATCAAAATGCAGGAATTAATAGAGGTTGAATACAAATGAAAAATTGGTGGAAATGTCTATATGCAAACAAAGAGAACTGAAATCAAAAGTGCACAAGAAAAATCTCACATTGTTCCTGCAACTCTAGTGCTAATATGTGTGTTCTCCTCCTCATCAAGTTTGGCTAAACCGAAGTCGGAAATTTTTGGATTCAGCTCTCGATCAAGAAGGATGTTGTTGGTTTTGATGTCTCGATGAACAATTTTTAAAGCTGACTCATCATGCAGGAAAGCTAAGCCTTTGGAAATTCCAACACAAATTCTTTGCCTTGTTGGCCAGTCCATTCCAGTTGCAGTTCTTCTGGACCTATAATATGTAGGAAGGTAGCCATTGTTTATGCTTATACTAACAACTCGAGTGCACCTTTTGTTTACTTTTCCTTTAAGAATGGCAAGAATAAAACGTTTGGATATTGGTTCCTAAAATATTTGTGACTGCATGTTTATCAAATAGAGGAAACCAGCTAACCGAAGAGCGCACGTGCTAGGTTGTTGTTCTCCATGTACTCATAAACCAAGAAAAGCTGATTTCCTTCGATACAACATCCATACAATCTCACTACATTTGGGTGCAGCAGACCTGAGATAATGCCAATCCCATTCACAAATTCAGGATTCCCTTGTTTTGATTTTTGAGATAGCTGCTTGACAGCAATTACTGTCCCATCCAACCACGTACCCTGCATTGACGTACAACACAACAATACTTTTCCACTGTTCGCATAGCATTACCAATGTGAATAATTTTGTCACAAAATGGAAAATTGATAAGGTACATTGCTTCATTTTCGTACCTTATAGACAGCTCCAAAACCACCTTCTCCAATCTTATTCACGGCACTGAAATTCTCAGTTGCAGCTTGAATCTGTCTGTAGGTGAATATACCAGTGCGCAAGTCCAATCCTTTCAGTTCTGAACAGGAACAAGAGCTTAATGTTAGATCTTTGTCACATCTGCTTTTTTAATGCAAGCAGGAAATTCAAGCATCTGTATGGGGTCAACTCGAACAAAGTATAAGGTAAGTGCACCTTGTGTGATCATGCTGAGATAAGTTGATTTTCTTGCATAACTAAGAATCATTTCCATAGAATCCAATGGAAAGAGTATCAAATTACATATAACTTAAACGTCTTCTAAACAAACATAATTCGTTCATCAAATAATGAGAAGGAATACAGTAACCTTTCTCTCTTGATATGTAGTTTCTTCTGTACCATCTTCTCCATATGATACCTAGACTTGTGAGAATAATGATTGATGCAGCAACCGATGTTCCCACTGCAATGTAAATCTTCTTCTTCCCTTTTGAAGGAGGGGAAAATTCTGAATAACGGATAAGGAAATTGAATTGGTAGAGTTAGACAGCAGCTAGTAACAAATAAAAAATGAAACCCCGAGATTAAGCACCAAGAAATGCCACAGTAGTTGAATAGAGTCGAATTGCATGGAATTATGATGGTCAGATGATCTTTTCATTTTTTATTACGAACATATACAGATAATATTCATTTTTGAGAATAAAGGGAAAGTTCAACTCAAGAAAAATGAATACTTTACACACGCAGATTACCAGATTCTACTGAAATAGCAGAAATCAAAGCTCCGTATGTTCCCTTTCTGGGTGCAACAGTTGTTCCTTTTCCTCTATAATCAAAGCGTATTTCCAAAATTCCCTTATCCACCACTACCCCCTCATATTCTTTCGGTACTGGTTTGCCAACTCCTTGTGCTTCCCATTCAACGTCTAAATCCTTTAGTCTCTGTTCACCCTGTAACAAATGAAACAACACACCAGTTATATTCTCTATTGCATCGCTTCAAAAAAGAAGAGGTATATATGGTGGTGTATTTTCACCTGGATATGGACATCAAACATCCGCCTTCCAGGACTTTGATAAGATCGATTGTCCCTAAGAACTATCTCAGCAAAGTAAAGGGTCACCGTGTAGTTTCCTTTAGCCAAACAGCGACCGTAGTAAGTTAGAGATAAAGGAGACAGTCGGGCTGTTGTGAACAACTGTGAGTCATTTGCTCTAATCACAGAGACATTTTTCGCTAGGTAATTACTCATACTACCGTTCAAGCCCATAAAATCACCAGTACTACTGGTTCCCCAGTTCTCAACCGAGGGGACAAATTTTGCAGGACCTCCTGATACTTGATCTGCTTCAAAAATTCTGCTCCCCAATGTAGTTCTGTCTCCACCACAGTTGACATGCAAAGAATAGTATTCTTCAACAGACCAAAAGGACAGAAAACAGAAGGAAAAATAAAATGTGTTATACATCTTGAAGCTATTCAGATGGACAAACTTCAGAGTGTTCGTTTATTTGTTTGTGATTAGCTTCTTTTAATCGAAGCAAGAGATGCAATGCAGAAAGAAATTAATAGCACGACTACGTATAAGTATCAGAAAAAAGAAACTGGGAACTTTCTAAAGAAACATAAGGTAACTTATATAGTACGACAATGTCAAAAAGGTACAATAACAAAGTGAAAGAAAACAAGGAACTACCTTTCGAACATGGGAAATGATCAAGACATTTGGCTTGTCCTCTGTCGTAGAAAGTAGAGTTCAGAAGACGTGCAAATTAATCAAGAAGATTGTCACATAATAAATTGAAACCATTATCTACATTTGTGAACAAGTGCAAACACTTACAGCTGTCTCCCATCATCACAGCTTTTATACAGATTTCTACTGAAACAACAACATGAACATGTAAGCACCTTCGAATTTGGGTAAGAATAGCTAAGAAAAGGAGATAAGATCAATGACCATACAAGGTTTCATGACAATCCAAAGGCTCAGAGGTTTGTGACAAGTTGTTGTATGAAAGATCTATCTCACTGAAAACAAGCTTTGGAGTGAGCATTTCATTTCAATATGTTAAAAGCTAAACTTTGATGCATTGCAGAAGTAAAAGTTAACAGCTATACCAAAATCCAAGTCCATAAAGAATAATAACTGTGAAATTAGCTTTTTAAATGGAACAACTTGAATAATTGATTATTTGACACTTAGTAGTCATCATTTTGTATGTAATCAAAACCCAAGTAATATTATCATCAACTTTAACCTTTTAGCTATGCTTCATTCTTCAACTTGATTTACATGTTCCAAGAAAAATAATAAGAATAATGATGTCTGTGCAGCATGAATCTAAGGAGGGCTCAACTGACCGTTTTCATTGGTCAACATGGTTATATAAAACATGCCAAACCTACAACCACCGAGCCTTATACATCAGATTTTCCGCTTTTGTTCCTTTGTTAATCAGAAATATACCAAAACATATACTCCCAAAGTAGATTAACTAGAGCAACCCCGCAGGACAGTGATACATCTCCTATGGCTACATCTATCCCAGAATGAGGTTATCCTTAACATGATGAGCATGTGGAAGTGTATCATGGGGATCAGAAGTCATCCTGCCTAGCATGATCATCAGTACAAGATTAGAAATATATAAAGTCCAGGAATGAACATACTGTCTAGCATCTATATTCTTGATCCAATCTGGAATAGGTCCGGTAAGAGCATTGCCCGTCAAGTACCTCATGAACATGCGGTAGAAAATGTCATTATTATTCTTAACTTTGAAATTCAAGTAGTATTAAGATAAAATAAAGATGTTATTCCGGCTGATATTGTATGATCAAGTGAAGCTCTATGGTCATATATGTGTATCCTTAACAGTGTTGGGATTGATTGAGTTAAACATAGAAATTATTGAACTTCCTAAATTCATTAAATAGTCAATGACATTGTACACATTAAGATAGTTTAATAGTTCTCCAACCAAAGGAAGGATACAAAATTCAACGTAATCCTTTTATTACAACTGAAGAAATTTATCCAGCAGGCTTAATAAGCATCATATCTGTAGATGATATAAAATTGATACTTACATAGTCTCCATATGATCCAAGCCAGCAAAATTTGGAATCTTACCCTCAAGCCTATTGAAGCTTAGATCCCTAGAAAATAAAGGGTGTTAGAGGAGGTCAAAGCATGGTACCTTCAATCAACTAGAAACATTGTTGTATATATCCATATACATCTTCTAATTAACAAGATCCATATTTATGTTCTAAATTGAAAAACCAAAACAACTGAAATAAGAACAGAAAAGAGTTACAGGTTCTTTAGTGCTGCTATATAGCTATGTCATCTGGAATGTGTCCGGATATATGGCAATTCCGCAGAACTCTGTTAGGACAAGGCATGACAACAGATACATCTTGGTTAAAAACAGTACAAGCACCCAAAATTCTGAGAGTTACTTTGGATGTGTTTGAAACTTACAGAAATTTCATTCTTGTCATCTCTCCTAAATGGGGAAACTCTGAAGCACCTACATTTAGGTCACTGATTTATCTGTAGATAAAACCAATATAGTAACATTGCATGATTATTTGTGTGTTAAACAAGATAGCAGCAATGTAGTAGGTTGCAAGGAGATGCTCACAGTTCTGTTAAGTTTTTCAAGACAGAAATGCTGGGAGGTATAGGTCCTTGGAAACCAGTTGCTTTGAGCTCTCTATTAATAAAACAAGAAATTGATGTTGTGATGCCTGTATACTCTAGAGTTGAAAGAAATAAACTAGCTTAACATGGAAACTTACAGATACTGGAGACTAGGCCAGCTTTGAAAATTAGGCAATTTTCCAGTGAAGTTGTTACTGCTTAGCCTACTGAAAATTTGAAAGCAAGAAGGGTAAGTAAGTTATCCAATCACCATCTCTCAGGAGATATGTCTTTAGTGCTTCAATATACATACAGTTCCAGCAGTTGTGTAAGATTATTCAATTCAATTGGCAAATCACCAGAGAGATTATTAGCATTAAGAACACTGCAGGAACCAAAAGTAAAAGTGTCAGAGTTAAGACAAAAAAAAAATGAAAGTTTTAAGTCACTCTTTGAACAGAAAAGAAATAAAAGAAAGTCTGACAGATTTGCCAAATTCTCTAGTTTGCCCAGCTCAGCTGGAACTTTCCCACTAAACATGTTGCTCTCCAGACTCCTGTAAAATGAGCTTGTAAGTTAGTTACTTTTTTTTCAAATCACGATGAGCTATAACTCGATACAACAGTGAGATGATGTTTTGGGATCTACCATTACTGCAACAACAATTCAACTGTGCAAGTTGAAGAGAACTTTTGATTGTGATTCAGAGAGAAGTAGAAGGAGGCTTACACATAAACAAGCGATTTTATGCGTCCCAGGTAAGTTGGGATTGGGTTGGATAAGCGATTAACAGTGACTGACCTGCAATGGCATCAGTAAGTTGAAGTACAAAACTGAAAATGGAGGAGGTCCTTCAACAAAACTCTAAAAAGGAAAAGAATTACTGACAGATACTCCAAGTTTTTCATAGATGCCCATGAGCGGGGAATGGTGCCGTTGAGGTAGTTCCTCGTGAGATCACTTCAACCAATAACGAAAAATTCATTCAATATGCAACTGAAAGAGAGAATCCTTTTGAGAACAACAGAAAGAAATACAGGATTTGCCATTACATTGTTTTGAGATAGGGTAACTTAGCGACTGAAGCGGAAGGACGCCTTGTAAATCCTGCCCTTTAACAAACCTGTCCAAACAACAGTACATTACATCTCAGAGTACTAAATTCAAACAGTTAACAGTCACACGACATTATCAAAACTAAGGACATCAAAAGAAGGGAAACAAACCAACATTGTTGAATTACAGACATTTCATTTCTGTTAATGGTTAATCATTCTTTTCCAACTCAATAATAAAAGCCATGAAAATTGCATCAGAAAACATGGATGTTGCTGCCTTACCTTTGCGGGACATGACAAACAGTACCATTCGAAAAGTTGCAGTTGCAGAGGAGAGAGTTGTTGTACTGAGGCAAATCATTCCTTTTCGGGGTAGACCAGTTGGGGTTGCCATCACAAGGGTTTAGACTGAAATTCCAGTCGGTTTTACCCAATTCCTTAGCGATTGCTTCAAATGTGTCAAATTCAAAAAAACTGGAATCGATCAGCATACGTTATTTTAGTTCCCCCCATCGGACAACACTTGAATTTTATTAGATGAAACAAAAGAAGGTGCAATTCAATCAATTGAGATTGAGACACGAAGTAGTACGTAAGATAGGCTTGTGTGGGTCAGCATACATTCATCTTCTTCCATATTCTACGTGTGTGGTGTGTGTGTGTGTGTGTGTGTGTGGGCTGAGCTAAAATCTGGCTGCTTGATTTTCACAAACATTCACGAGATATTTCTCCTACGTTTTACGCCCTCATTTTTAGCAGTTTGGCCGAATAGATTCACAAAGAAAAACTCAAAACGAAGACGGATGGATATATATTTATATTCTACAGGGAAAAGAACAAGATGATTAAAAAAGATACAGTAAAAAACCCAAAAATAAAAATAAAAATGCTTAATTACGTTCAGCTTGAGGAAGGGTTCCATCATTGGTCTGTGCTTCTGTAAGGTCTTTGTAACAATCAAAAAGAGAAACAAACTAAAATAATGACAAAAGAATTACAGGTTCCTTCCTTTTGTTTCCCCATATTTAGCTATGTCACCAGGAATTGTTTCCAGATAAATTGCAGTTCCTCAGCACCCTGTAATGACAAATACATCGTCACGCCACAATCTTTAAAAGGAAAAGAAGCATCCAGAGTTCAGATAACTCAGTAACTCACAATTCTGTTAAAACTTTTCAAGACAGAAATGCTAGAAGGTATAGGTCCTTGGAACCCAGTAGCTTGGAGCTCGCTCACTGTTAATCATACCAGCAATCAATGTGGCATGCAATGTAAAAATTGCAGAAAATGGGATTACTAAATATATACACACTTACAGATACTGTAGCTTAGTCCAGCTCTGAAAATTAGGCAAACTTCCAGTGAAATTGTTAGTACTGCTTAGTCTATGTGAAGTTTGAAAACAAGAAATGTTAAATATCTGAGCATCATCTCTTAAGCAGACATCCACTCTGACTGCTTCCATCAACTTACAGTTCCTGCAGATTTGTAAGATTATAGAGTGCAGTCGGTAAATCACTGGTCAGATTATTAGCCCTGAGAATGCTGCATAAACCAAAAGTAAGAAAAAGTATCAGTTATGACCAATAAAACTTTGATATGTCATTCTTTGAGTCAGCAAGAAAATACCATTATATATATCACAGAGTATACATAAAACAGAACAACTACTGAAAGGCTCACAAGGAGCAAAGGCTAATGGATGATGATCTTGGATTAGTCTGACAAAAGAACACTAACATTTTGAATTTACACAAACAAACTTCATCTCAGTATTCAACTGTAAAATCAAAGAAGGCCAAAAGACTTAAAAAAAAATACTATGACAAAGCAGATATGCTTACAGTTTCTCCACATGGCATTCACCATTAGGACAAGTGCAGTTGCAGTGGAGAGTGTTGTTGTACTGATCCCTTTTGGGGCTTAGACCAATTGGTGTTTCCCATCACAAGGATTTAGACTGAAATCCCAGTCTTTTTTTTTTTTTTTTTTTTGCCTAATTCATCAGCTATTGCTTTGAGAGCATCAACTGCACAAAATCATAAAACGAATTTATTCAGTTCAGTAATCGTTCGAGGATTGTGCATGTTAGTCTTTGAAGTTTGAACCCTTTTCAGGGTTAGTTAAAAAATCTCTGTTCACTTCCAATTTGTCACATCTTCAGCACTTAAATCACCTTTTTAACTTCTCTGAACCTCTGTTTATGAGCTTGTTCACCCCCTTCCAGTTCATAACTACAAGAAAAATACACTCATTGGTACTGTGGATTATACAATTCGCCGATGCATAAAAAATGGTCAACATTTATGTTTTTGTGTGTGTATTTCCATTCAAATATATATATATATATATATTTAATTTTACATTATTGAGAAAATTTTACATTATAAAAATTTTCTCAATAATTTTACATTATTGAGAAAATTTTTATAAGTATCTGAAACAACAAACTTTAGTTCCAAAATTTGCCCAAATATCACAATGTCAATTTGGGCATTATATGTTTTCTATTTTCCTTTTGTTTCTGCCAAATATACTAGCCACATGAAAATTTTGAAAGCTATTAACGGAAGTGTTCATATATTTTAGATGAAATTATGATTTTTCGGAAAAGTTTGGGGTTAAAACTAAGTATTTTTTTCTTTTTGGAAGGTTGGGCTCGTACACATTTTCATTGAATTTCTTCCTCCGGTGTACGTACAGTACTACAATATTCACAAACAATTTTACTGATGTAACTTATTTCCTAGTCTTAACCTCAAACATTATTGATCATCAGGACCGGCATGTTGTCGGAGAGTAAAAGAATACAGTTAAGTTCATTCGTATCTGGTACCTCAAACTAGATTCCGTCTAACCTTTGTATCCAGTATATGGCGGACAGTATACTTGTAGCCTTGTTTACAAATTTGGGTATGATTTAAAATATAGTACTAATATAAAGATTAAAAAAATTGAAAATAAATTATGAGCCTTTAGTTATCAGCTGCCGACCATAGTTAATTAATTCGGACCATAGTTATCAGCTGCCGTTCCAAATAAATTAATTATTGACCCATCTTCCAACGCAACTTCAAGTGTTTGATAATGTATTTTGGGGATCAATCAAAATGTACAATTCGCCGATTCCGGACGACGGAGCCTTCTTCTTATTTCTACAGGATTGAACTTTCTTGTCCCTCAACTATGAATATGAATATGAATATGAACTTTCTTGTCCCTTTTTCTAATAGCTGAATTGTAATATAATTTATCCAATAAATTTTGTGGATGATCATCTGAAAGAAACCACTAGGTTGGGCAAAAACATCTTATGATTAGACAAACCGCGATAAATCTGCTTTAGATTTTGTACTTGTCACTTGTAGTAACTCTAAATGGACTCATTCACTTTTGATTTCCCCTCTTTTTCACACTCATTTGCAATGCATACTTTTTCTACTTTTCATCAAATTGTCAGTTCTCTTTGTTGTGCTGTTCAGAAAACAGTAATTAACATTCACAATATTTTTTACGTGCACCATTTCCATCCCAACCTCTGCTGTTGGAAGTCCTTTTGGCAAGCAATCTAAATATTGCCTCCACTTCCTCATCTCCGATCTTTCATATGGCTAGCTCTCTTGGTTCTGATCTTACTCCAGGTATGGTAGGTCTCATATTATCCAGGTTTTAAATGGTTAAGAGTGTTGGACTGGACATATATTTCTTGCCTTTCGACACCTTTCCTAGACAGATACTGAACTTGGTCAATTTAAGATATCTTGCGCTCAATGTGACGTATAAGTTTGATGAATCAGTATCTCAGCTTCACTAACTCGAGACCCTGATTGTCTATGGTCCCTGGAGCCATAGTGAAAATGAGGGAACCACCCCAACTATGTCTCGCTTCCTTATCCGACCTGAAGAAACTCAAACTTTTCCACGCCAAAGAAGTGTGCAACAATGGTGCAGTGTTAAGATGCTTCCAAAAGATGAACTTTGAGAAAAATGAATAAACCAGAATGCCAGCGTCTTGTTGTGAGGTACAGCAAGTTTATTCAAGAGATCCCTTTGGGCATTGGGCAGTTCAGTGCCGTTGAGTCAATTGAGCTGCTGTGAATCAGTGGAGAAATCAGCCCGGGAATACGAGGAATATTATGGAAGCCCAAGTATCAGTATTCGAAGTAAATCCTGGGTAGATTTATAGGTATTTTACTTGCTTACTCAGTCTATGTGCAGAGCAAATAAAGTTAGTTTGGACACTTGTTAAATCAGCTCCAATTTTAATGGTTTATGCAGCTTTTCGTTTCCTTCTTCTTTGGAAGAAAATAGAAGACAAAAGACTAAAAAGATTTTAAACTAACAGTTCTGACTCATGTACTGTTTGTAGCTCCTCAGGTAAACGTAGATTACTCCATCCAAACTTTTTCGAATAGCGGAATTGGAATATGCTTTTATCCCGTAAATCTGCGATGATCGGATCTGAAGGATCTCCTTTACGTTCTTGTAGCTCTGGCTCGTACTAATTAAAAAGGGACTAATTTCAGTTTTGTAACACGGCTCATTTGCGGCACATATACTATCTTTCTTTTTTATCAAATTGTTGTTTCTTAGGTCACATCACTGACTTGTCAAGTTTTCCATCAACGCACTTACAAATTATCTGGAGCTGAATTTGTCATTTTATACCTACAACATCAATACACATGTTGATGCAACTTGATAAGGATACATGTGTAACACAATTCTGGTATATGTGCACATGTTGATGCGAATAGATCGACCACTGCATTTTAAAAGTGAATCAAGTATCCCTCGGACATGAAATACATCAGCAACTACACGTACTAGAATTTTAAGTATAACAATTTTTTTTTCTGTTTTTTTTTTTTTCGCATCAGGTTGAGGTTCTCGACTATGCAAATTTTCATCAATTCGTCGACTTTATCGCCAAGATGAAAAGTTAAACAAATTAATGTCGTTTCAGCGAAAATTCCCAGTAAATCAGTGTATATATTTTTCCTATCGAGACTTGAAATTAAGGAATATAATCAACCGCCGGCAAAATTATGTAAATATTTATCAACTGAATCATCTTATTTATGGGACATCACATGGCCATTTTAATTGATGATGATGACGGTCATGCATGATGAGGCTTCATTGTCTTTGTTAGGTAAAGGATTATACATTTTATATATCTACATCTACATTATATAAAGTGCGGAAGCAGTTTTTGCGTACGGTTAAAGGCAGGTTGTGGGTTGAAACCGCTGATGTGGCAAGCTTTGGCTAGACCGTTTCTTCTCTCTCTTGCGTTTTCTTCTTCTTTGTGGTAACAACTTGTTTCGGTTGCCAATTTCCCCTACGTTTGAATTTTGTGCTATACGTGTTTGTCTATTCACTAGAAGTGTGTAAATTGATTTTCTTATTTCCAATTTTGAATTCCCTTTTTCCGTCTCTTCCGTATAATCGAAAAAGAGAGAAAGCTAACAAGCTGGTAGATTTTGGG